AATCAATAGTTCCAGATTTTTACAATTTTTACCTCCCTTGCCAAAAACTGGCAGCCATTCTGGGGGTCAATATTCTATATTAAAACATTGACAAAATATGCAAAAATCAATTTAAACAGCCGATTATCATTGATTGTCAAATTATTTAATACATATGCAGCAAATATTATTATAGCACCAATATTTACACGATATTTCAGTTTTCATAAAGAGGACAGAATTTAATCATGAAGATTTATATTTTATCTTATGTTAAGCATTATGGTATATTGGGAATGACCCTCAAATTGGCAGCCAGGGGAGGTAATAATTGTTATGTGAAAAGCATCAATTAAGCAAATTCATGTACAGTGCAACCTCCGCAGAGCAACCACCTCTTTACAACAACAAAAGTATCAATTCTTCCCAAAGTAAGACTTCACAATAAAACTGCTGTAAAGCAGCAACCTCCCAGCAGCAACAAGAGGGTGTCACTCTACAGAAGTTGTTCACTTTCCTTTAGTAATGGATTCACTAGGTAAAAGATTGACATTTAGTAAGTACTTGAATAAAAGTCATGTGAAACAGATTTTTAATCATTATGCATAATAAAATTTTGCTGAGAAAAAAATGTTTAAATGTAAGCGGAAACTATTAAGTTTAAAAGCACTGTGTTGCACAGATGTAACTTGTGAAATACATTGGATATATCCCATCTTAAATACAATGCTTATAATATACATGTCAGAAAAGATCAACCAGACAGGTAACAGGTAAACAAGCATAATTATGTCATCATAAAATGTTAGAATTTTATCAAATTTTATGTAGGTAATCATAAAAGAGGTAATTCAAAGTAAAAATAATGTACAATTTCAAGAGAAATTATTCAATGTATACAAAATGAAGGGAGGTAATTCAAATGTGAATAATGTACAAATTCAAGGGAAGAAATTGAAATCAGCATTAAAGTAAGAATTTCGTATGAATTCTCTTCTCTTTTAACAGACTCCATAGATACAGCTCAGCATTTTAAGTCCAATGATAACTGTCTGTACTCACTGAATAGTCTATATATTTTTTTGCCAGAAAATTACAGGTAAGTACAGAAAAATACAGAGAAGTACAGAAAAATTCAGGTAAGTACAGAGGAAGACTGACCTATATATACCAAGTTTGATGTATTATAAAAATTGCTTTGCCAAGACTCAAAAGATAAGCAAAATCTTCATTCAAGAGTATGAAAAAAGTGATAAAATAAGCATGAACACAATACATTTCTGTAGATTAATATAAAAAGTTATTCCCCCTTTCTTCTTACCAACAAAATTAAAAGGAGTGACCAAAGTTTAATAATAATTCACACTTGATAATAGTATTAATTTTCTCAGTTTCTGACATATACATTCTACAAAAACATTACTCGTACATTGACAACATTTATTGAGATCAAATATTAAATGATTAGTCCGAAATGATGGCATTGTTGTTAGTAATATTTTTGACTGGTCATGACAAAATGGACTACATGTTAAAAGGTATATTGGCAAAAAAAAAAGGTTCTTTATTCCGATATCAGTATATGGTATATTACTATAAAGTTAGCCTTGTGTTGTTATGAACCTTGTGTTGTTATATTATGCTTGAACATTCCCCGTAACATTCTTTATAAATGCTATTTGAATTCTGAATATTAAAAAAATAATCTCTCCATTTAATAATCCATGTTTCCATTGAGCCACATCAAAATTAAGTTGAATTTATCTGACGAAAGTCTATTCTAAATTTCAGCTTTTGTAAACAAAAATAAGAATCCAAATACATGTAGATCATATTTCAAGTCATTTTATTCAAGTATGTATCAAATTAGCAATAAATGAGAACTTAACTAATAAATACAACACAATTAGCCAGTATATTCTACACTACAACTTACTTATCTAAACTAACTAAACTAACTAATTACAAGTTACTTTTTCATCTGTCTTCATAACAGAAGCTTTAAGAAAGCTACTCAAATTAACAAGTGCATATAAAAAAAAGTAATGTGAACACAGTCTTATTGGTGGAGAAAGACCTAAGGTTTCATTTAATTCATATTTCATGTAGATCCAGTCGCCCAAGTTGATTCTACTACCATCCTTTTAACTTACTAATATATCTTATAATTATAGAAAAATCATAAAACTGACAGTGAGATATGAACCAAAACCTTTCGGGAGGGGTGGGGGGTTGTAGTGTCAAGTTGTCTCCAGTCACAGAGGCCTTTTATTACATTAAAAAAAGATTGTTACCTTAGTAACATGCTATATGCTAGTTTTAGAGTTGTCTGGAAATAAAACAACTAAAAGATCGAGTGTTTATGAAATATTGAAAATGTTTACATGTTTTGGCATGGCAGGTTGTGAATTCAGATTAATTAATGCACTTACAATGTTTACAGCGTTTTAAGAAACAAGAAAAATGAGACATCAACTTTTCAATTTGACAACAGCATGAGTAATGCAACCCTGAGTTTTCCAACATGAAAAGCACCTGATTTTTTTTAATAATTAATCTCCATCTTAAATGTTTATCCAAGTTTTTGTGCATCAAAATCATGAACCATAAAATGTTAATCACTTGTTCTTCAACTGACAACAGTTTTGGCAAATGGCATGTCAAGACTAGCTTAAATATATCAAGATATATATGCCAACAAGATTTTGTTCTTCAAAACATGTCATTCAAGTAGATATGCTTATTATAACTCAAATCTTTACATCATGAAAGTAAAATTATTTTTATGATAAATTTCATAATCAAAATAATTTCCATCAATAAATGAACTTAAACCCTTAACCTGCCGAATTTCTGGAATGCACTTAAATTTTGGTGACAAAGATTAAAATTAAAAGTTATTCGGCCAACAGTATAGAGTCGGGTCAGTTTTTTGTACAGCACACCAAAATAGTTAAGGTCATATGGTGCCGAAACAGGAAAAGATGATTTTCATGGCTAACCTTGGATGTTACAGACATAGAGCAACACCATGGGTCAAAACTACCTCACCTACTTAAACTAAGAGATGCACAGACTCCAGTAATTTGAACCATTCTGGACGCCACTCAGCAGGGCTGCCAACAGCAAATTGCAAAATCAGAGGAAAATACGTCGGAGGTCAAGGGGGCTGCGCAAGCCCCCTTTGCGGAGCCCTGGTAGGGGTGCAGGGGGCGAAGCCCCCGGAAGCTCCTGGATTCTGATGATTTGGTATGCCCTAAAATCAATTTCCTGGACTCTAAATTTGACTTCCTTGGTTGCCTTTAAAGCCATTCAGAGACACTTTAGACAACTTTTGACAACAGACAAGAGCGACAATGTAAACTGTAATTTGATTGGTTATTCTAAAATAGAATGCGAAAAAGACTCGATTTTACCAATGAGAAAAGCGCTTACAGACGTACCATAGGCGGCTAGCGTAACGATAAAAGCCGAAGCGTGCCGGTTTTTGGGTACTGTATAAAATATGACGAATGAATTTATTGTCTTTGTCGAATTTACATCGATCTCAAAAATGACCCAGGAGCTCACGAAATCCGCGGATTTCCGCGAATCCGCGGAAAATCGGCAGCCCTGAATCAGGTAGGGTTAGACTGTGGCTGCAATTCTGATGCCTCAACCCGTAAAGGTTACCACTCCGCCACCAGGGGCGAATCTGGTCAGGCAACAGGAATGTGCAAGCTGGCTTAGCTCTATACTGGTGGCAAAAACTAGTTAATTTCCATTCCAACAGGTTAATGGATAAACAATTCGGACCGATGAAATTGACTTATACACTAATTATACAGTTATACAACAGATACACATAATTCATTTAGTAAAACAGCAAAAGCTCTACATCTACTATTAGTATTACAAGTACATTTATTTAATACATTGCTTTCTAAAACCATTCAAATAATACCAAACTCCTTATCAATTCTATTTCTTTATTTAACAAATCTGGCACTGTTAAAATTGCAGTTATCATGTTAAAATATCTATATACAGTGTTTGTTTACTTTTTAAAAATAAGTGCGACAAAGTATGAAAATAGATAAAACATATTGAGCAGTATAAAAATTAAGCTACTGTCTTCAATACAAAATACAAACAAAATTTCCATTATGAAATTAAATAAATTAATAATCAAAATAATATGTGATAAGATTTATTGCTCAAGTAACCATACTTTAACTGATGTAGCTTTTTTCACCAAAAGAACTAGATCACTGAAATGTTTTACATGATTTATTTTTCATTCATTCTACAAATTCAGTACTTTATATCAAAATTAACAGCAAAATAAATATTTAAATAATAAAATGATTTGCAAAGTTATGTCAAAAAACCTGTGTGTGAATGAATCATTTAGAAACAGAAAAAGAAAATCCACTGAGTTCCAAAATCTTAAAAAATAATAAAATTTCAATAGCTGTGGTTCTTAAAACAAACAGAAAGATATGCAAAAGATAATAAGAAATACATGTATATACTCAGAAATAAATTGAAATCTGTGATCTATTCTAAATTTGATTTGAGTGAAAAGCTTTGCAACTTTTTTCAATTTTGAGTCATTTTTCCCAATATGAATAATGATTCTGTTAAAACAGAAAAGGATTGACATTCAGTACCTGAGTATACTGTTATTTGTCAGAGCAATGATTTTTCTATTAAGAACTTAAACATAGATTTCTACATTCTTTAAATTTTCTACTGTATCCATTCTTCAATCGTAATGGCCTCTTTGAGCGGCATGCAGACCTTTCCCAAATCATCAACATCTTCATGGTTTCCAAAAAAAATTTATTTTTGGCCACAAGTACACACTTTATAGAATTAATTCATGGAATCAATTTCGTTGCTATTCAGTGGTATTTCACAAGCTTATGTATAGATTTGGTGCAGTCTGCAAATTTTTTATGTCCTATTTCTTATTCAACGATAGTAATCTGAAACTGAAAACCATACACAGTTAACAGTTCAAATATCAAAGAATGTAAAGTTCATTACACAAAACTTTATATGGACTTTGATGAAATTTCCGGGGTGATAGTTCCTTGTATAATGTATGGAAGATTGTAGCTGCACTTGAGATAAAAACAGATTATGTACACGCTAAAATCCACTACCATTATCATTTGTCCACTGCTAGTAACACTGTATGCTGACCACCTGCAGATACCTGTATAACTTTCCTGAAAAAAATAAATGATAAAATATTAACATAAAACAGGCCTTTTCCTAGTCATTACAAGAAAAACCAATTGATGCTGATATCAATCAAAGCATAACAACTTTTGACAAAGAAATTTGTGGAAACATCTTTCCGATATTATGCTGGAATGAACAAATTTGTCAGTTTTGATAGGGGGAATTTCAGTTCCATTGAATATTGGGGAAAAAATAAGCATATTTGCAATTGGGAATGGGTCTTGAAATCTGAGCCATGGTGAGACTGGGAAAAGGTATTATGATAACCATGTTATAGTTACACTGTTTCTTAATTGTTCTCATTATAACCTGTATACTCAAAAGTAATATTTTTTTGAACAAAGAGCCACTTATTTTAAAATCCTGATACTAAAATATTATTGCCCTGAAGATTCCACAACAACCTAATGGTTCTAAATATGCACATAATTATACAATACCTTTCTTGAAGTTGTTTCCCATCCATCTTGCTTGGTACCCAGGAATCATCTTCTTCACCATTACCTAGCTGACTGCTGGTACCCATACCCCATGATGCAACAGTACCTGCAAAATCAATCATGAAAATAATCACCTGCAATTTAATAACTACAGTATATCCCAAATATTTTTAAACCTCACATGAAAACTGCTCCCATATATTTATTGCCTAACCTGATGGCACATGTTCACAGCATGTGTATTTGATTATCTAATTTCAGCTTTTTAATTGTGTCAGTTTAAGGCTGAAGATGATTGCTTCAATCACTTCATTCCGTTATATTTTGTTTATAAACATTTCAGAAAGACTTTAATGCATTTCTTCGGGAATGAGACAGCACAAATGTATTGAACCACAAACTAACTTAAAGTTCAAAATGTAGGGCAAGTGCCCAGACTGAAGCAAATCTGATTTTAACTCTCTCACCCAATAGAAAAATTTCTTTGCAGGTTATTTTTTATGGATTTAACTCACTACAGTGCTTGATAAGTACATCTGAGACGCTTGCAAAATCATGATCATTAAGTAGAAAATGTCGCCTCTTTTGCAGATTTTAACTTTTTTCGTTTAAGAACAACAAAACAGTGACTTACCATCTTCGAGGAGAGCAAATGACACAGACTGGCCTGCAGATATACTGGTACATTTTTTCTCCAACTTAACTAACGTCGGTTCCTTAACCTCGCCACTATGCTCACCAAGCCCTAGACGACCATAGTCCGCCCTGCCCAGAGAATACACGTTTCCTGAAATATACATGAATACTATGTATGAGTGAGGTTCAATTGAAAATTCAAAATATAACTATTCTTCACACAGTTTACTGTTTTAAGCACTTCTCATGTTTAACTTACAGAAAAGAAACATTATATTCCATAACAGAAAAAATAATTATAATATTTTTCTAGTTTCTAATTTTACCAGTAACAGCTATATATTATACATACCTTTGTCATCTAAAGCTATAGTGTGATGTTGACCACCTTCTAAACATGTCCAATTCTTCTTGTCAAATGATTTCACTTTCTCTGGCACAAATCTGTTAGTCATTTCACTAAAACCTACACACACAAAAAAAAAAAACAATGTAAAATATAACTTTTTTTACATAGTCTACTTGCTTTTAAAAATGAATGTAAATCAATCCTATTTATAGACCTGAAATAGGAAAAACTCAAAATGCAAGTCCCAAGAACACCTTTAACATGATTTTTTCATGTTAATAAGAACTGTTAATATTTTTTGTGTGAACTGTTAATATGACACACAATTCTTTTTCAGCCTAAGGGTCCAAATCATTCCTGAGTTTTTTACATTTCCAAATTTTCTAAATTCACACTACGAAAAAACTCTTAATAAGACACGGGTGTTCTTCTGATAATCAAACTTGGAAAAGTCCATGAATTTTTCAGGGAATTTCAGGAAATATACTGTTTATGTATTTTTTTAAATAACAAAAAAAAAATTCAAAGTTCTATATTTATGACTCACCTAATTGGAAATAATTGTTCAAGCCCCAGCTATATATTTCACCTGTATTCTTCTCTTTGGCAAATGTGATATATTGACCAGCCCAGATATCACAAAATACAGATTTCTTTTTCCTAAATCTCACAATTTCAGGTGTTAAAATAGATGCTGAAATATTAAGAATGTAAATAATTAAAAATTATTAAGTTTTTTGTACAGCAGTTTTTATACTTTTGTTTTGTGCATGAAGTTAACTATTTTGTACAAATTTCTATCTGCATTCTACATAACACAGAAAGAAGCCAATTTTTGAATCACCCCAGACATTTTACAATCCTTTACATCTAGAAATACAGCTTTAAATGTGAATTTACATCAAGACTATAATATTGGTCTAGAAGAGGTGGCCGTGCACTGCACTGGATCGTTTCAGCTTTTGAATTCAAAATATTAACAGATACCACTTTAATCCATCACAGCCACTCTTGGCCTTCTTCTTACTCACACCATGTCAATTATCCAAATTTAAGAAACAAAATATTTTAAGATTTGTTTGTTTTGATTGGTTTTACGGTTCACCAACACAATTTACTTCAAATGGCACCAGAACAGGAAAGAAGATTTTGGCTAACCTCGGGTGTTACAAACGTCAGGGTTTAAAACCACCTCACCTGCTGGAACTAAGAGATGCATAGACTCCAGTAATTCAAACCCAATTAGTTGCCTCTTGCGATCATGCACAGATTAACAGTGATTGCAATTTTGATGCCTCAGACACAAGTGGTAAACAATAAATTTAGGCAAAATATATCCAAAAGAACATTTCAATTTTATGATTTGTTTTTATCAACCTGTAGTTATATTCAGCACTCACCTAATCCTTTTCTGCCTCCTCTTTGTGAAAAACATTCAGCTACTCTACCTAGCTGTCCTTGTTCTGCACATCCTGTAAATGTCAACATACAACCTCTATAAACATGCAATATTCACCATGAAAGAATAGTTGTTTATGTTTTTAAGTACAAAATTATGTTGCTATCCTATTATTTTCATTTTCTGAAGTGAAGGTAACTGTTAATAATATTGCTTTCTTTTCTTTTGTTCCCCTATCATTATAATTGCAACAAAATTTTCTCACTCGCCACTGCCCTTGCAATCTTAATATATTTAAGGTTCTTTTAATGACAGAAGTAAAAAGATTAAATTACCGTTAATTTGTTTTATTTTTGGTTGTAACGAATATGGTAGAGGTCATATGGCGACCTTCCAGCTTTAGACCTTTTGGTGTCTTTCAGTGCATTATTTCAGGCACAAACTGGGCACCCGAGTAGAGCCACTGCCGTTCCATTTAAATTCTACTAAGTAACCATATTATATATAATTTCACCAATGCCCTTCTGATGACACTCTTACAAAAGAAACTGAAATAATAACAGTCTTATACACATACCACATGTAAATATTTCACCAACATCAGACAAACAGACTAGATGATCTCCTCCTGATGTTATTTTCACAATTGTCTCCCCTTCCAACAAATGCATTGGTGTGTTCTGTATACCATTTGTTGTGAATCCCATCGAGCCACTAGCATCCTGTAACATAGCAGAACAAGAACCGGTTGAACCGGGTGATGCTCCCCGAGAAGGTTCTGGACACAGGAAAGTATAAAAAAAATGAACAAAGGGCAATAACTCCAAAATTAGACCAGGCTTTGTTTAGGTTCTTGAAGCGTTGCAGTTCTATCCAATTATATCTAGCTACCTACAAAGTTTCATGTTGATATCTCTAATAGTTTTAAAGTAATGTCCAGGACAAAAGTCAAAAAGTAAAAATAAACAAAGGGCAATTACTTCAAAATAAGGCAAGGCAGAGTAATGATTCTTAAGCACTGCACTTCCACCCAATGAGACCTATCTATCTACAAAGTTTCATGTTGATATCTCTTATAATTTTAGAGTAATGTCCCAGACAAAGTTCAAAGTGTCAAAATGAACAAAGGGCAATAACTACAAAAGTAGGCAAGACAGTGTTACAGTTCTTGTGCACTGCAAACTTACTCAATGAGATCTATCTACCTACAAAGTTTCATGTTGATATCTCTTATACATTAAGAAATATGTCCCGGACAAAGTTCAAAGTGTAAAAATAAACAAAGGGGGATAATTCAAAAATTAGGCAAGGCAGAGTTAAGGTTCTTGTTCACTGCACACCTACTCGATGAGATCTATCTACCTACAAAGTTTCATGTTGATACCTCTTATACTTTTAGAGTTATGTCCCGGACAAAGTTCAAAGTGTAAAATAAACAAAGGGGGATAATTCAAAAATTAGGCAAGGCAGAGTTATGGTTCTTGTGCACTGCACTTCTACTCAATGAGATCTATCTACCTACAAAGTTTCATGTTGATACCTCTTATACTTTTAGAGTTATGTCCCGGACAAAGTTCAAAGTGTAAAATAAACAAAGGGGGATAATTCAAAAATTAGGCAAGGCAGAGTTATGGTTCTTGTGCACTGCACTTCTACTCAATGAGATCTATCTACCTACAAAGTTTCATGTTGATACCTCTTATACTTTTAGAGTTATGTCCCGGACAAAGTTCAAAGTGTAAAAATAAACAAAGGGGAATAATTCAAAAATTAGGCAAGGCAGAGTTACGGTTCTTGTGCACTGCACTTCTACTCAATGAGATCTATCTACCTACAAAGTTTCATGTTGATACCTCTTGTTGTTTCAAAGTTATGTCCCGGACAAGAAAAGGGGACGGACGGACGGACGGACGGAAAGACGGACGGACGGACGGATGGACGGACGGACGGACAAGGCGGCGACTATATGCTCCCCCGAAATTTTTTCGGGGAGCATAAAAATAACTCATTGAAATATATGTACATTCACTTAGAATTACTTTATATATGGAAGTATTGCAGATTTCCCGTATTTTGTTACACTAAAGTACACTTTTTTTGATGTGTGTCACATTTTCTACAAGAAATGTATCTAAAGCACATGGACTTTCATACATATTAAATGCTTCTCAGGCTACAGATAGACATCAAAACCTGTTCTGACAAGGCCAAATCTATTTTTTTACCCCTCCTTTAAGAAGTGGGTGTACAGTCTGACCGGGCTCTATACTGTTAACTGACTAATTTTTCTTCTTGATACACCAAAATTTTAGACACAACAGTCCCAAAAATTGTGTTAAAAGTTAATTTTCTTCTTATTTATAAAATATGTAAAAAATATAAAATAAAACACAATTACATCAAACTTACCCTGAAGTTGCCCCATGCAAACACACGACCATCCTCCGACAGTGCGGCTGTATGGCTGTCTCCCGCACACACATATACAATCTTTGGCAAACCATCTACTTTACCAGGTACTGTCTCACTACCTTCCTCTGATGTATCTCTACCTAGTGTTCCCTCATCATTACATCCAAATGTATACACCTTTTTGAAAGAAAAGTATACATAAATGTTGAGTTATATTCAAGTTAAACTAAAACAGAACAAACAACATACACATGGGTGATGAAACAGGAATTTTCAACAAATATTATTAAAGTATAAAGGATGTGATAAGTCACAATTTTCTGGTTACATGTATCATGTTTAAGAGGGTCTTTTTGTGGCCCTTTTTTTTAAAGGGGCATTTTTAGTCCAAGAAGGCAGTGACGGTACATGTCTACGATAAATTTATGACAATTTGATAAAATGTTCTTAGCTTGCATTTTTTAGTTACCTGTGTATAATAGTATAGTCAGGGCCATTGATAGTTTTGTGAAGACATTCTTAGAATTTAAAAAGCAAAATGCTGCATTTGATTTCAATTTAAGGGAAATGTGAAATAAAATTTTAGCTGAGAAAATCGACAACAATTACCTCCCCTTTCTCGGTCAGACAAACAGTATGCATTCCTCCGCCACATACTTGAATAACAGGATCTTCTATAGTGACAAGTGCTGGGCGTTTCCTCCCAATAACATCCACTCCCAAACCCAGCTGTCCCACATCTCCCTCACCGCATACCAGAACCACGCCTCCTACACTACCATGACATGGATGGTGAACTGAAAATTAAAAAATCACATTAATTTCATTATTCAATCCTATTAATTTAGACAGTATTTCTTTGTAGAAAGCAATTTTTTACCTTGAAATAATGTAAAGCTTTTTTTATTATTCTCAATGAATGTAAAAATTATTATCAATTGTCCAGTCAATAACACTATTCCTTAGCAAGAAATTGTATGAAAATAAGATCAAGAACTGAGTTTCACAATTGTTTCCATATATCCGATTATAATATCCCGCTAGCAACACCCATAATACTGAAGATATTTCTATTACAAACTTGAGAAACAATAACACAGTTTTATTACATGTTTTGCAGTAGATTACTGAATTATAACGGTTAATTATATTCTGATAATTTCACAGTAATGATTACCAAATATAATTTCACAGTAGCCGAACTATAGGCCTATTTGGCGAAAAAATAAAATATTTATCATTAATGAATGTTTTTTTCAGCGGAAATGTAGTCAATCATAATAACAAATGTACGTGATAACTGTAGTTCGTAAATATTTACGAACGTTGTGCTGAAAAACATCTAAAATCTAAAAATAATCATGGAATTATATTTTGCTTCAACATTGTGACGTCATTATTTGATGACGTCATGAAGATAAGAGCATGACGTTACGCGGCAAAAATCAGTAAAATGGTGTAAAAATCGTTAAAAAATCATGAAATAAACAGAAAATTTGTTTGTTTTACATGTAAGATCAAATAATATTTCACTCGTGAACCCCAGCTATTATATTTTCACTCGTGGCTACGCCACTCGTGGAAAATATTGCATCTGGTGTTCACTCGGTGAAATATTTTTCGATCTTACACTGAAACAAACAAATATCCTCTATATCTATTTTACTTATCCCTGTTTCTCGTATTCTCGGGGTTTCTCGTATTCTCGTGGAATCATTAAAACGGATGGAAGCGACGCTCGCGACTTCCGTCGATATCCGAAAACATGTCTATTTAGCAGAGCATTTTCATCTCCATTAAAAAATAAAAGAAATGCGGCAAAAACAGATAAAAAACCAAAATAACTGTGGAAATAATCGTAAAATGCAGAGAATAAACATTAAATTTATCAATTTCCCCCCAAAAATCATCAATTTTCTAGTTTTTTCCATGTTGCAGAAACCTGTAGCGGGTCTCTGACGTAAGACGCTTCAAAAAACGGTCTCACACTACTATTTATACAATACAGCTCAAAATTCTTGTTCCACGAATAGATAGTATAAAAAAGATATGAACTCCAATTAAAAACCAATAATGAAACATTGTTTGTCCTAAACACATTTCTTTTTTGACAACTGCAATGGAAAACAGTAGTATTCATTGTTTAATGTTCATATAACTAATAAGTAACTAATAAATAAACGTAAACTTAATATATATTAGAGAGATAATGTAAATAACAACACTAAATGGAGTTCAAACTATTTTTGGAACAATCAAAATCATTTGGTACCAAAGAGGCGTCAATATGATCCTTAAAGTTTGATATGGCCTGCCAAGCTGTTATTAAAACACAATAAAATTACAGATTTAGGCCATTTAACACTTAATTAGGTGTGGCACTAATGATTTGAACTGGTATGTAGAATAAAATCATCACATAGCGACCAGCCTTAACAACCAATCAAATTCCACGAGAATATGAGAAAGCACCTGCATCACATAGAGGGTGAAGGTCAGTATATACAAACAGAAATATATTTAGTTTTGCTTACAGTTACGATCTTTCTTTACTTTGTATTTTGTTAATAAGGTATTTCTCTGTGTATCAGGCTAAAAATACTGTAACAGAATGTTTTATAAATATTATGCAACCAAGTTTAGTCCTTAACCCCCCGAGAATACGAGAAAACAGGATAAGTCGTGAAAATGTCATTATATCAACGTATATCTATACCTCTCTGTCTTTTCTTTGTTTGGTTATCTTCTGATTCTCTGCTTCTCTTCTTGCCCTTTCCAGCCATCTAAAAAAATAAACACACATTATGTTGGAAATTTAATTTACTACCTCGTGTCACCTACTTCAAAAATAATGCAACAGTATCTATCACCCAAAGCCCCAATAACGTCCCACCCATTGGGGTTGTAGAAATTTCTTTGGACAAATTATTGTTTTTACATTTTGTGACAATTCCTACATAGGTGCATTTTTAAAACACAAGTATTTCTCAGCAAAATGTTGCCTGAGAGATATTTATAATCTCAAGCACTTTTCCCCAAAAATATACTTTTTTCACAATAAAAAAATTAAAACTTTAAATATCATATATCAATACCTTTGGTTTAGCTGAACCTTTAAATAAATCTCCAATATTTGTCCCTAAAGTATCTGCCTTTCCATCACTTCCTAAAGGAGGCATTTTTTTAAAATCAAAATTCAATTAAAACACTTTAATTTAAAAATAAAATCCTCTGAAGTTTCTTGAAAATGGAGATAAAATTCAAATGTTAGCATGTGTAGTTTTCCCTCCAATTTTCTTATGTAATCCTCTTAAATTTATCAACCAGATAACAATGTCCCTAAAACTAATTCCCTTGTATATATATAATTTGTACACCAGTCTGAGTGACCTTTGACACCTTCATGGGTAATTTCAGAGTAGCAGTCAACCATGTGACCTTTTCACACCCAGAGGGCAAATATTGATAAGTGGCAGTCTGAGTTCCTGTCAATTAATTAACTGTAATTTGCAGGGAGCCAGTGAAACATTGATTTATTGATTTGATTATGGCACTAAGTTGTAAAACTGTCAATCAGGGTAATTAGTAAACAGGATATTGTGTGTATAGTATGGTAAAAAGATATCAATCACAAATAATAAAACAATTATGACAGAAAGAAGAGATTAAAACTCAAGAATGTAAATAAAACTGGTTATTTTATTATGCTGAAATGTTCACCCATCAAGATGTCTATTATATTTCATATATAATTTACAATTTTAATAGCCCTGTTATGCCAATATTTGTGAACATAATCAAGGCCCTCATTTCATGAAAAAAGGCCAAGTTTCCCTCCCAATTAGTATATATTTTTATTACCTAATTTTGAAAGAAAAGTTCAAATTCCCTTAAATTTTTTATTTAATCTGCCAAAAGCAGAAGACCCTTAACAAATTGTCAGTAACTGACAAAATTTCCTTTTTTCTTCAAAACAACAGGAAATTATCCCACCTGAGGGCCCTGGCATCTATCAATAAGGTAGTTTGGACCCAGATAGTCCTATTTTATACTATTACAATTTTGCTAATTTCATTGACAATTGTAAATATACCCAAGATATGCTTTAAGTTTTATTTCTCAAAAGATTTTATTTTTGATGTATTTGAATAGTTTTTGTAAAACAACTCATTTACCAATTACCTGAACCTTCTGTTGTTTTTTTTCTGTTGCTGTACTGGCAATTAGTACAATTATAGTGATTTAGTATTTTGCATGGAAGTGAAGTCAAAACACTACTTTTAAATTTTCTACTTTCAAAAATATTTCCCATTAAGCACACCTTAATACTATTTCTATTCAAATTTTGACACACTCGGCTAAAATATTGACCTCATGGCTAAGTATAAAACCCAATATGCCCAATGCGTATGTATAAAACATAGTCAATTTGCTACTGTTGTTATGGAATTGATTCATCATAGTTACGCATTCCGTAAAAGTTTATACCTAGTCATAAGGTCAGTTTCCAGTTTTTGTTGACAGTATGACGATTGAAATGACCTCTGCTGTTTGATTTGTTTACCAAATAACTTATTTATATTAAATATTTAGAGAAACATCATTTGGATATGGAGAATCTTGCTAGCCCTGTTGGGCAAGTTTGAAAAATTTTTTACTCGCCCGACCCAAACTTTTACTCCCAAATGCTAGCGGGCGAGTGGATTTGTTGAGGCCTGGTTAAAGCTGAGAAAGACCCGGACTAATACAAAATTAATGCGGCTGATGACAATTATTAAGATGCAAGCTAACTGATAATTTAGTTACATCAAATGTATATTAATGTTTCTGACTTACATTTCCCCTTACAAAATACACAGATTGACAGTTTCAGAAATAGCAGACGACAGGCTTTTCTTATTAGTAGAATTGCGAGTAAAGATAACCAATTGTGTATCTCACTGTATAGAACGTATGTAAAATGGTCTGACTTGAGGTAGGTTTAACCGTAAATTTAAATACCTTCAGTGTCAAACAATGTATTGAAATATATACTGAGACAAAGCTAAGATCACAAGCTTTTCATAGGTGTAATAAATTTTAAAATCGGACATTAAATCGCCCCAAAGTAGCGGTTTAAAAAAGGCTAAATTTGCATTAGAGATAGTGAGTTTACTCGAAGCTAAGGGAAACAACTCTTGTTATTCACTTGATTATTTACATAGTTCATATAGAGACTGTCAATTAGTTGTTGTTTACCGCTGGTTATCACCAATACTATTATAACTGTGAAATATGGCTATCAAAATATCATTCATCACTAAATCTGATTTAAATGATATAGAATTTGGATTGTAATTAGGCCAAAAAAAAAAAGTTACTTGTTTCCACTACCCCGACCGACCTTATTTTTTTGCCGCCGACCCTACATTTTTTTTTGGACAAAAAAAAATTCGTTGATAGTCACTTTCTCTTTCCGAGTATTACCATTCCTTTCCTCTTATTAACTATCTTTGCGCGCTTTAATATTACTATCGGCGAGACGCTTTACCAGTAGAGTAAAGCGTTTATCGATATGAAACATGGCTACGAGTATTTTGAACGTTACAATTGCAAAATGTAAACATTTCGCAGGGGTTAGAAAGATATGTACATTTCCGAACAATGCCTTGATATCTGATATTTTCTTTGAATTACATGGATCAGTCAACAGTGCCGATTTAAAAAATAAAATAGACAATTTAAGTTTGTCGGTAGTCGGTTCAACATCCCCTTCGTGTACAGATTTCAAAGATTTACCGGAGGTCGACAGTTGTGCAGTTTGGATTAAGATCTCTTTTTCTCAGATGCAAAGAAGAGCCAACTCTCCTAGAAAGTGTTGCCATCGCAGCAGAAGCAGCAACACACAAGGCAGCAAATGCATTTGAACTGCTGATGGGAAAAGGGAGAGTGTTTCCTGATAAAAAATCTACAAGGTTTATAAATGAATAAAAAATTACATTTATATTTTAAAATATTTTTAATTTCTAATTTATATGCTACTGGTAACAGTGTTGATTTTAATCTGAATGCAAATTTTACTTTTTTAATTTTGCATTTGATCAATGCAAAATCGTTGAAATAATTATTTGACAATCATTGAAATAATTAATATATTTGACTTATAAAATTTAAAAAAAAACATTTTATAAAAAGGAATATTATAATAAAATATATTATTATTTTAATACATCAAAATAGACAGTTGTTTAAAATGACAATTTAGGCTAGCAGACTATAAAATATTTAAACAATATGATTATCAAGACTTTAATCCGAGTATTTGGGTTTGATTGAGCCAGTCTGTTCATGGATGGCACTGGAATGTGTAAGCCACCCTCCAAGCCCCTAGCACTGGCTTAAGCAGAATTAAACATTTTAAATGAAAGTTATTTTTCACATTTCAGTTCTGGGGTAAAATCTGGCACTGTGAATGCAAAAGATGTTTTGTACAACAAACTGGTAGACTTGTTTGTGACAATGTGACCAATCAAGATGATAACATGGTTTGTATATGAATATGTTGTAATTTAATAATCAAGATTAAAAAAAGGACAACACTTCTTTCATATTTTGTTTGCATTCTTGGCATATAGGTCTCTTTATGCCCAAGTTGAAATAAAGTTTAAGACTTTTAAATTAAAGTTAATGAACAGTTTTTAGGTAAAGCATTTTGACAGTTTTACTTTCAAGGAAGCTGCCTTTATAGTAATAGTTTCCATTTTCATTTTATAGTGTCATAATATTAATATTAAATACTTTAAAACAAAGTTTATATACATTGTTTAAAATACATCTGTCAAGTGCATTCAACCCAATTTTAAATATTAGAATCTGTCTATATTTTCACAGATTGTTGAACAGAGTGTTTCTGATGTGACTGAATCTGAAGCACCATTTCCACTTACAGCCCAGACAGCACGAGGGATAGTTAATTGTGTGGAGTGTGAAAAACCTAGAGTATTGTAAAACCAAATTCTCTAGTCGTCAAAATTTAGTTCTGATAACAGCTATTTCTGAAAATGATTAAACATGTGGATCTCCTCTTTCTGGACATGAACTGCTGAAAAATGTTTATATTAAGACTGCTGTTAATTGTGGCAGTCAAGTGGAGTTTCCATACTATAGCAGTGACTATAGGTTTAATGTGTGCGCATACTGTGGAGATAGTGATGCATCTGTTGATACAGAACTGAAAAAACGTTATAGAACAGTCCTTCCCATTTGTGCCAATTGTAAAAATGGTGGAAAAGTGTCTGTGACAAAGAGACCTTATGGAAAAGAGTAGTGACTGTTTTTTTATTATAAAAATTGAGGGACAGTGGTTGGACGAAAAAAATCATAACATGCACAATTATTAAATGTTTATTCTGGAACAATATAAGTGCAAAAATAAACATATATATATGTATGTAATAAATTTTATATTGAAAAGTATTTTTTTTTTCAACAGCATGCCACAGTATCTTGACACTAAACAGCTAAATACCAAACACTCTAGCATTTTACTGCAGTCTAAACTTACTTCTAAGTGTCATTTATTATATCATTTCTTTACTTACATATTCATGAAGTCAAGTTTCAAAAAAAAAAAAAAAAAATTTCCTACCTACCGACCCTATTTTTTTCAGAGCTGGTAGTGGAAACAAGCAATTTTTTTTTCTTGGCCTTATGAATAAAAGAACTTTTATTGTTAATTAATTGCATAGAATTATTGCTCAGAAAAACATTATTTGGATTTGTTACCTCAGGAAATAGTGTTAAAAGTCAGATTGTCCCTAATGCCTAGGTTGTCCCACAGCATGTACAGACAAGTGGAAATTTTTAAGAATCAACTATATAAATATCATACGGACAAGTTAAGAAATGCTTCAGATAGAAAAAGGACTGCAGTGTTTCTGCCAGACTAGATTTTTTGGGGGTCATTTGTGACCCTCTGTATAAAAATATGGGAGTCATTTGAAATTATAAAGAGTCAAATTTTAAAAAAGAAAAAAACTACAAAAGTAAATCTCAGAACATGTTAAAAACTTCAATTTCTCACTTTTTGCAGATGCAAATGAAAAATCTTTTAAGGAAGAACCAAGTCTGATTTGCATTAAAACATTTAACCTATCATACGTCTGTTTATTACAGAAACTTTGATATTTTTGGCCACTAAATCTGAGATGTAGATAACATTGTTATCTATGTCACTGACTAAAGCCCCTATCTTTTGTGGTGTGCTTGCCAATTGTGGTGCACAAATCGCTCGTTTACACCCTGACCGTGCATGTCTAAATCCCGGATACCGTGACTCACTGATTGTAGAACGGTTAAATGTTGTGCCGATAAC